ACTATAATGTGACAGTGTGTATTTTCCTTGGCGATAAGGGGCAGTACATACCTAAATCATTGCAAGCACGCTGTATTTTTGTGTACGAGTAACCCCAAAATTCCACTACCTCCGCTCCGCCCCCGCCCTCCGCAGCCGCTCGCTTCCGAACTCAATTTTTACTGCTACCCGCTTTACAACGGCTCCGCTCCGGTGCGGAGACCTGAGGTGGGCAAACAAGCATGCGCGGGATTTTCGAGATCTTGCGATACAGTCCGAGCAATAAACGCGGAAGTTAGATCCAAACACCCGTTGTGTGGGAGAAGCATCGGCATGAACTGTTTAATCTGCCCATCATTTGTGTTGAGAGATCAGCAGTGTTTGGATCAACAAAGTGTGACTACTTTGATAGTGGAAACTGTATTTCTGGCTTACTTTTGTGCATTTAAACTTCAGCCGCCACTGATAGTTGTTAAAAGTTGTTAAACCTGTGCATATGAAACAAAAAACGCCTTTTGTTTATCGATGTATTGTGAAAAACGGAAGTTGTGCTCGCTCCTTTTCCTGTTGGGCGGTTGTGATTTCTGTCCATTTACTGCAGAGGTGCTCCGGCGTCCGGCAAAAATAGGATCGATTCTATTTTTGCCGGACGCCGGAACAGAGGGCGACGCACGGCGCCGCACTGCCGGAGCACGGCCGCAGTAGTGGAATTGCTCTGATTGACTAGAACGGGACCGATTTTGCTCCGGCGTTCGTGTCGGAGCGGAGCGCAGCGGAGCGGAGGTAGTGGAATTTGGGGGTAAGACCTTCTCAACGGAAGACCATTAGGGTCAAGAATACCTGTGAGCACAATTTTCGAACGAGTACATTGTCAGATCGTTGAACCTCTAGCACAATGACAAGCACACCAGACTCCCTTTCATCACTAGCACCAAGCAAAGAGATAAATGTGTAAAATAGTTATGAATTTTTAACCACTTGTTACAAAACTTGTAAGATGAAGCCACCAATATTTTTCAACAACTGGGCATCCATGAATTAAATTTCAACAACATTTTGATGGATATTTACAGAGATTAATGGTAAAAACTACAGATTTTCTCAAACGTTATTTTTTTACGTCCACGAACTAATGATGACAATGGAGAATTCGTAAATCTCCACTTTGATGAGTTTTTGATAGAATCGTCCTGGGTCCCGTTTATTTTCACTTTAGTGTGGACGACAGAACAAACTGTAGAAACATGTCTTTGTTGTGTGGGATACCTGGCTACATGTGTACAAGGTCTTAGACCTTTTTCTTTCTTTTCATTTTCATTTCACTTTATTTATAGAGTGCCATCCACGACCCAGAAGGGCACCCAAGACAATGTACACTACAGCAAAAGACAGGACATGCAGAAACAGCATAAAAAAGACAATAAAAATATATATTATTGCAATAAAATCCAATATTACAGATTAAAAAATATTCAGCCAGAGGAACAATAGCAACAGAATACTACAGCTATTGTTTAAAAGCCTTGATACAAATGTGCCTTCAGACGTGACTTAAAAATCAGCAATGGTGGCAAGTGACGAACTGACATGGGCAACTAATTCAAAGGTTTTGGAGCCAAGACAGAGAACGCCCAATCCCCCTGCGATCTTAGTACGCAGCACTGTCAACGGGTTCCCATCAGCCAAGCGTAATGCCCCTAATAAAGTGTAGCAGCAAAATAAAGCCGCTAGTTATGATGCAGCAGTTCCATGCAAGGCCTTGAAGGCAATTGTTTGTGCCTTAAATTCTGCCCTAAAATGTACTGGGAGCCAGTGTAGTGACGCCAATACTGGCGTAATATGCTCCCAGCGTCTGGCATTGGACAAAGGGAAGCAGCTGTGTTTTGGACAAACTGCAATCATGCAACGCACCCTGACCAAGTCGAGAATACAATGCATAACAGTAGACCAATTTTGAAGGAACCAAGGTAGGAATTATTGAGTCAAGGTGTTCCCAAGACAGCATGTCCCTTCTTTTTGAGAGGCAGCGCAAGTTGAAAGCACATGAGCACACAACACAATTTATGTGTGCGTTAAACTAACAGAAGTTAGTAACAGTGCTTGATCCATGGTCTAACCTCCCTTAACCACTGTTAAATTGCATTGACTGGCCCACTTAGCCACTTTTCTTAACATTTTGACTTTATTCTGTAAACATATGGATGTTCAAAGTTAACCTGTTAATTATCGTTGTGACCGGGTAAAATAGTTTTGCTCGGTTAACTGCTTCAAGACTGGGCTGCATGGTGGCGCAGTTGTTAGCACTGTTACCTTGCAGCAAGAAGCTTGCAAGTCCGAAACTTTCTGCGTGGAGTTGCGTGTTCTCCCCATGCATGCGTGGGTTTCCGCATACTCCGGTTTGCCCCGCAGATCACAACATGCCCTATAGATTCGCTATTGTATGTCGCTTTGGATAAAAGTGTCTGCCACATAAATAAACATAAGTCCTTCTGGTGCGCTGGGGTGTAATACATTTTGTGCCACTAGAGGGTGCGAGAGCGCCGCTATCACAATGCGTTTATTGGGCAATTGCAGAAAAAGAAATGAGCTCGTTACATGACCAAACAAATGTGCTCAAACATGGAGCGTTTAGCAAAGAGCACGGCGTTGGAGCATTTTATTCTTAGTTATTTCATTCTTGGAACACAATAGGCCTCTCATCAACACGCTGAGCCTGGCAGAACATGGCGCAGCAAACTGAACCAAGACTAGCAACAACAGGTCAGCTGGCCATGACGCCCCTGCTTGCGTCTGATTCCTAATTTGTCTAGTAAAATAAATTAATGTAATTATTTTGTTCAGTGGAAGGAAACAAAAGTGTTTTTTTAAAAACGTTGCTTCCAGAATGCGCTTATGAGCACGCTATCACTAGCAGCGCTGTGTATTTGATGCCAGACAGTCTGCCCAACAAGTTCCGAGTCTGAGGGACATTCCAGCCGTCATCCCACTCTCTCTTAACATTTTGTTCGATGTAACGAATGTGGAACTTAAGTTGTGCGTCAGAATTATATTAAAAAAAAGAGTAGATGGCAAAAGCGTTATTTATAGAGTGGGGCAAATATTTATGTGATCTATTAACCATTAGGGGGCATCAATAACAGGTTAAAGAAATTTTGTTAAACGTGCATGCCTATGTAGACATTTAAATTTCCTATCAACAGTTTTTATACATTTTTATACTTTTATTTCTGGACATTTTCCCTTTTTTATGTTAATAGTTTGACTTTTCCCCCTCAACATTTCCATTTAATTCTAACTTTTTATCTCCTCGTCGTCGTCGTCGTCGTCTTCCTCCGCTTATCCGGGTCGCGGGGGCAGCATCCCAACTAGGGAGCTCCAGACTGTCCTCTTCCCGGCCACCTCCACCAGCTCTTCCGGCAGGACCCCAAGGCGCTCCCGGACCAGATTGGAGATGTAACCTCTCCAACTTGTCCTGGGTCGACCCGGGGGCCTCCTGCCAGCAGGACATGCCCAAAACACCTCCCCAGGGAGGCGTCCAGGAGGCATCCTGACCAGATGCCCAAACCACCTCAGCTGACTCCTTTCGATCCGGAGGAGCAGCGGTTCTACTCCGAGTCCCTCCCGAATGTCCGAGCTCCTCACCCTATCTCAGCCACCCTACGGAGGAAACTCATTTCAGCCCCTTGTATCCGCGATCTCATTCTTTCGGTCATTACCCAAAGCTCATGACCATAGGTGAGGATTGGGACGCAGATCGACCGGTAAATTGAGAGCCTGGCTTTCTGGCTCAGCTCCCTCTTCACCACGACAGATCGGCTCAGGGTCCGCATCACTGCACACGCCGAACCAATCCGCCTGTCGATCTCTCGATCCCTCCTACCCTCACTCGTGAACAAGACCCCGAGATACTTAAACTCCTCCACTTGAGGTAGGACCTCTCTCCCGACCCGGAGTTGGCAAGCCACCCTTTTTATCTCCACAAATATAAAGTTCCTTTTTGTGAGTGGCCCTAATGCACTGTCGCAACAATCCGGACATGACCAGCAGTCTCTCTAATGAGATCTTCCATAACCAGATTTTTCCAGGCAATGTTTTCTGCATTTTATTTGCAATTGCAGATGAGACTTTTATTCCAGGGTCAATCCTAATCTACAGTTTGGTGATGACACGCTCTCCAGACCATATTGGATTTTAGACACATTGCTGTGGACGGTGTGGTAAAGCTTCCACATCACAGGCCCAGACCTACAAAACACCGATTCCAACCACAACGCCGTGCCAGCACAGCCAAAGAAAACTGTATTGTTTTCCAATCACTGCCTGCTGCTTTATGAGCTCTTCCAGCCACAAAAACATTGGCCCAATGGAGCAGGCTGCAGCAGCCAGAGGAGGGTTCCTCACCACTGGAGAGGAGGAGGAGGAGATAGGGGATCAGAAAGGGAGGATAATAAAATACAAGCATGTGTGCACATATCAACAACTCCCACACTGAGATGAACCTGTTCTACGAGCGGAGCCTTGACAGATTTCTAATCTTTTGCAGAAACGGCGCAAAAGAGTCCAAAGAGATGCTGAGTTCTCAGTTTTCACCGTGTAACCTTCATGGCCTTGACCCACATCTGTGTGTTTTGCCTTCATGTGACCACCAAGCTTCAAGGTGCAGGAACACATCACCTGGCTTTCTGTCAGCTTTCAGAACGCAGGAAGCATGTGGTCTTTTACACTTCACAGTTCCATCACAGGATGCTTGTTTTTGCATTTCTGGAACCACTTTTGGTCTCCTGAGTTTCACATTTCTGCTTCACGGTTGTGTCAAAAGGGCTGAACCTAATAAAATGTACATTTCTAATGATGTACGCAGAACAGTAGCAGAAACACCTTCATGCATGCAGTCCGGAGTGCAAAACAATCTTAAATAAGCAAGTTTTAGTTCAAAAAATACTATTTTTAGCTTTGCAGACAACACATTTTTAGGCGTTATTACACTGATATTAATACAATTAAATCAGCAGCACACTTACAAGATATGAGTTCTGCCTGTCGAGAAACACGGAGTCCCCCATTGTCCCAGAATAAATATCCACATAAATAAACGCACAAAATGTGAAGGAGGAATAAAAAAATATCAAAAAGTCCAGAAACGTTGTGGGAAGAAAGTCTCCAAAAGTCTTCTCTCGTTTATATTCAAGGATGAGGTTCAGGCTTTTATTTTTGAAACTACAACTCACAGCCGAAGCGCGTGTATTTGTTTTTCTGTTAAAACCCCTAAATAATATTATTAATAATGACAATAAAAGCGTGTCACGAAACAAAACGTGTGACAAAAACACACCGCGGTGCGTCAAAAGGATCCATTCTGCGCGCGCCGTGCGTTCTGCTGAAGACGGATGCTGAGACCGAAGGCAGAGACGCTTCGGTCGAGTCAGCGCCGCTACCACCAGATTTCCGGTGCAGATTTTCAAAATAAACCCCCGTTTCTAATTCTTATTCACAATTTAAACCATGACGTTTATATAACTAGAATACCGCTAAAAACACGCATTGAATCTTACGCAGATATTATATAATTATCAAATTAACCCTTTAACTGGTATGTTAAAAACAGTTTTTATTCCTATATATTGTTGAAGCATGCCCTGAATCTAATACAGACACCTACATCAAAACGTTTCTTTAAAAATTGTGTTTTTCTACATTATTATTACTAGCTCATATTATATAAATGTTGTTGCATGAAAAAAGGAACATTCATATGTTTATTTATTGTAGAAATTATATTAAAGACCTGACCCGCAGATGTCAAAAAATGTTGTTGTTTGAACACACCGTCAGAACAAGGACCTTTTTATTTTTCTCGTAGTGTTTTATTTTTCAACCATAACTGAAATTATTTGTATTCAAATGAGACAGTAATAGCAATAATGTGCTTAATAATTGCATCAATGTTGTATTTGTATATCCATCCTAATTAATTCACTTCTTTTTTTGATTACAAGCATGGGTTGTTTTGCAAAAAAATAAAAATAAAGAAAGAGTCACGATGCTACAAGTGTTGGGTGACAGGTTTCAATAATACATTTTTTGCAGGGGTGGCATGGGGGGGGGGGGGGAGATTCAATCTAACTGAGCCATATTAGTCCTCTTGGCCAGGACAATCATGTGACTAACGATCTCTTGATTTAAGCTGAAAACAGAACTGCATGTTTTTATTTTGAAAGCTGAGCTCTGCTTTTCCGGTTTTCTAAGAGCATTTCCAGGACTCTGACAGAAAGATAACAGAGAAAAGGTGGAGGCAGGGCGGAGGGAAGTGAAGTAGGAGGACCAGCAATGGAATGGAGCTTTTGATTATCAACAGCAGGGCCCTGTTTGAAAGTTTTCATGTCACTGACCCACAAATGGGGCTCCACACTTGATAAGATTTGACTGAAGAATCTCCAGGCAGGAAGGCTGTTTGGTTTAGAACTAGACTTGTTACTACTGAAGGAGCAAAATAAAAAGCTACAAATTTTCCCGCATTGAAGAAATGACTTTTTGTTTTGTTTGGTTAAATTTTACTTTGAAAAACTGTCTGTAGCCTTATGTATAAACCGCTCCAAATTTAGGTTTGTCAAAGAAACCACCCTCCCGCCCAAAAAGCTGCATGGTGGCGCAGTGGTTAGCACTGCTGCCTCGCAGCAAGAAGGTTGCAGGTTCGAAACTCGGCTGCAGCCTTTCTGCGTGGAGTTGCGTGTTCTCCCCATGCATGTGTGGGTTTCCTTCGGGTACTCCGGTTTCCCCCACAGATCACAACATGCCCTATAGGATATAAATTGTAAGTCGCTTTGGATAAAAGCGTCTGCTGAATAAATAAACACATAAACACACATAAACAAAAAGATCCTAATTCTTCTTCGGCAGGTATTTTAAAGGGGTAGGGTTTCTTTTAACAGTGATAAATTACTTGCTGCAGGCCAGTTACTAATGGAAATAAATTACAGTAGAAGAAAAATGAACAAAACACAGGCATAAACCAACAGCCTTTATTATATAGTCAGTAGGGTGATCACTTTTGTCTGTACGGGTGGACATCTCAGTGCCGCCAGCCATCAGAGAAGGTGTGTGTGTGTGTGTGCGTTCGTGCGTGTGTGTGTGTGTGTGTGTGTGTGTGTGTGTGTGTGTGTGTGTGTGTGTGTGTGTTTGGGGGTGGGGGGTATGTCATCAAAGAGTTTCTTACCTCACTGGAAAAAATAACGATCAAGAAACTTGTAACATGTCCGTGAATGTCAAATGTTTTAGCAGAAGACACGTTGGAGTGTTTAGGATTTATCTGCGCGATCCTGGTGGAGGCACACAAATGATGAGTTACACAATCTCAACACAAAAGTATGGAAAATGTCAGTGTAGATGTGTTATTTACTTATTTTTGCACGGTAAGTCGTGGCTCTTTCTATAAGTGAGGTGGGAACGCCAAGCCGTCTAAATCAGGAGATATGTGTAGAAAACTATTTTCACGCTCAGCCTCCATGTTGCTTTATGTCCAATGGAAAAGTACTTGTCCCGTATAACGGTGGCTAATTGCTGTTGTGAAGTACATTTTGAGGGCATTAAGCAACGCTTTCACATCTGGTGGAAAGATGGGGTATAGGCTTACATTTGGACTGAACTCAGTTCAAGGACACCCCCCATACAAAAATGACTCAAGCCTTTTTTATAAAACAATGCCGCCAAGTTGACGCAATGCTGAGCTGGCAACAGGGAGCCTTAGGTGGGTTATAAGTGATCAGACAGTGGAGGTAATAAGGCGCAATCGTGTCCTTTTTACAAGATTATGTGATGACCATATAAAGGAGGTTGGGGGGGGGGGCTTTGCGCTGCTGTGGACTTCCATTAATCTAGTACATAATTTGCTTTTTATTGTGATTGAACGTTCATTACGTTTTCTTTTAACAAACCTCTCCTAAAGGTGTCTGTCCTCCACTGTCCCGGTGCAGTCTCTGGTGATCTGAGCTCCAACTACAACAGAGAAGCTCCCAGTGCTCTGCATCGCTCCAGTTTAGCATCTCATCTGGTTTTGTTTACAAAAGTGAAACTTACAGCCAGTGTTCACTTTAATTTTCAATATTAAAGCCAGCCGGAGCTCGGCAGTGGCTCCCCACATGATCATGACACCGTCCTTTGTTGCGCCAAGGCGTAAAATGCATTCAAAAGTCTGGCATTGCGGCAATATCACTACCAAACATGGAGGCACGAATGCCTCAAAATTGTCTCATCGCCATACTGCCACAGCTCATTAAGACACACGGTGGCAGCAGTATTACGCTGGTGTGTCGGCATGGTGTGTCTTCTAAAAGGGTATTAAGCGGAAGTTTGATGTTGCAATAGTTGACTCACCCCCAACATATTCTGCAAGCTCTAACACATCACACATAACATTCTTTTCAATGTTTGACCAAAACAGCTATGAATCCACAAATTCAGAACATAAGATTGTCTTAGTTCAAGACATCTCTAGAAAGGTGGTAGAAGATAGTCTGTAATTTGTTAAAAATGGCAGTGAAATGGTCATTCAACCTTTGGACAAATCTAAATGAGCCATCAGATGTGTAACTAGTGTTAGGCAATCTGTGTCAGAAGACTACTCGCATCCATCCTCATAAAAAACAGAAGTTAGGAAAAACAAATGGAAGACAACCCCGTTTTATCAAGACACACACACACACACACACACACACACACACACACACACACACACACACATGCACACTTACTTAGCAAGGGCTAATGAAAACCATCTGCCTCTTTCTCTCATTTTTTTTTGTTCCAAAACAAGACACTAGGCTCTTTTCTTTAATTCAGTCCACCAAATGTGTGAATGAGTTGACGACTTACAGAAGCTGGATCCCTTCCAGCTTATCAGATTGTTGTAAAACCATTTAAAGAATGCAAAGGAGTTAAAAGGGACACTTATTGTAAAGCGAGGAGATAACAAAAAGAGTCGACTCAGCCGTAAACTAAGGTGAAACTGTGAAGTGTATCTTATAGAGGCATCACCAAAACACTTGTGCTAAAAGACTGCCAGAGACAGAAAACCTGTTTGTACACAAGACGGCCTTATCAGGCCGCGTCTCTATGAGGTCTGGAATGTAACTTTACGTGATGGAAATTGTCGAGAAATTTTGTTCAGCGACATTTAAAAGCTAAGCATCGGCCATGTATTTTTTTAGTTTGATTAAAGCTATGAAGCATATCCCAGCATGTTGGACACACATTTCTGTCTCTGGTGTCACATGTTTGGACTGAGACAAATTGTACAAATGCTAAAGGAGGCTGCACATGTTTCCTAACAAATTCAGTCTTTTTGAACATGCACAATGCAATGCTTCCATGCTTTCTTCTGGTTTTAGACATTTAATGGGGATTACTACAAGGACTCAACAAATGGCTCACCAATAAAATAGAGTGCAGTCAAATCCAAAATCCATTTTGAAACCTTCTTTTGTTTCTCTCTTTTTTTAATATAAAATAACATTAAATTTTTTGTCATTTAAGGTCCTTAAAATTGTTTATATCAAACCCACCTCCATGTAATATTGAATAATAAAGCCATAATAGCTATAAATTTAAAACTGGAAATTTGAACATTTACTTAGAAATCATTAAAGGCACTTAATATGTGAAATAAATAATAATATATAAATATCAATCAATCAATCAATCAATCAAAGCTTTATTTATAAAGCGCCTTCCGCAATCCTGTCAGGAAGCCCAAGGCGCTGAACACGGTACAGTAGAAGTACAAATATATTGAATAAATCAAAAATAAAAGCAATTCAAAAATAAAAGCAATTCAAATTACAAAATACAAATTACAAAAAAAGGTGAAACATTCTAGTACAACCACTGCATAAAGAGGACGAGCAGCTCGCAGCGTGCACCCGCGCGAGCGCCATCTTACTCTCTAGCTATGTTCATATTCAAATACTAGGGATGCTCAGTATCGGCTTGTTTTACAGATATACCGATATTGTCGGACACTTCATTTCCGACAACGATATGTTCTGTGTCCCCCTCTCAAAGGAAAAAGAAAACAAAATCATTTTAAGTTACGAACATCACATTTCTACTATCACACGTGCCTAAATTGTAAACATTTTCTGTGTAAAATAATAACTATTTGAGTTTAAATTAATAACAGAAAAAGTGCCTCGTTTAATTTGTCTCTAACAGCAGCTGAATCTCATTCTCGCTAAGTGCGATTCTAAGATGTGTACATTAGCTAGTAATGTATTTTTCTGTTTATTGCAGTTACGGTGATAAAACTTTTATAAAGATCTTCAGATAAGAAAAGTAAGCCTTGTTGTTTGTTAGCTGGCTAGCTACACATAGCTACGCACTGTACGTTCACTACAAAGGGCAAGTTTCTACCTCACAAGTTTTACCAAATACGCTAATATCAACAGCTGGAGGAGAAAGTAGATTCCGAATTTGGAGTCTTATTACCTGATTTGGACATCTCGCTTCTGATTGGCTAACAGCAACACAACACTTTTTTTAAACTTGACTTTACCACTGACTGTTTGCTCTCTGACGTTGATGTTTAATCGCCACAAATAACACAAGACTGAGGGAGTTCTTGTGTGTGGTGCAGTTGCTGATGCTAACAGTTAGCTTCTGCTAGTTGGCCAGTCTCTGCTGTTTCCTGGACGCTAAACCAACAACAACCTGCACCGTCGTGAGTCAAGATGGGTGAATCTATGAATGTTAAGTGACAGTGTGACATAGATCCAGGGTTTTTCCTTGTTCAAATGGAGGCAGAGGTGGTACCATCCTGACCATGCGCCAGCACATGCATACTCAGTGCAATCAACTGCCTCACTTTTTTAAAAGCAAAATATTGTTTCCTTAAGTGTTCTAATCTAAGCTTCTGTTGATTAATAGAATATTCCATTTGACAATGTTTCAAGTGAAACAAAACTGGTTTGCTGCTAAAAAATATGAAACAAAACAACTAAATTATCAGGCTGAAATAACAGACTTATTATAAAAGGCTCAATAATATGCATTAGATTGGTGTTTAGTTCCCATTTTCCCATCTGATATTTGTAGTTAAAAATATTTTTAAATGTTTGACCTACATTTCAGTAATATTTTAGGTTTGTATTAATAACACTTATCTTAGTCAAAATAACACATAAATATATCCAGTAAAATAGAATGCATTTCATTAACATGCATTTGTGTTGGAAATGGTAATAACATTTAATTTCTGCTGCTAACAATGTAATGGTGGCATGTTATGTACGGGTTGACTCTGATTATTATCCAGTTCAAATTATGTTCAAAGATAGAAGCGTTTGTGAATTATATACTACGACGGCTTTCTGTACTTCCTGCTCCCGTATGTGGAGCAGACTTGTAGCAGTAATGTGTCACGTGTCTGCAGTGGTTCTGATCCGTAGCGCTGCAGGATGCAGAATAAACAGGATGGTGGGGACTTTTCATCCGCTTGTAGAGTTTATTCTTTCTTAGTTTTACGATCATCATATATTTTTCTGTGTGCCACTTGATCGTGAGACTGCTACCCGTTAGCTTTAGCATTAGCCAATCTGCGTGTAGCTCAAGCCCCCACAATGCGGCTCAAAAATTGAAGCAATCCCTCAGTAGAGCCTCGGTCTGGCCTGTCCTGGTTTCAGGATTTTGAGTCTCTGTGTTTGTGTATTCTTTTTGGGATATTATTTGTGCAATTGTTGGACAAAATGACTTGCTGTGGTATTAATTGCACTAATAGAGCGTCCAAGGAGTCTCCACTTCATTTTTTTCGGTAAGTAAAATTATATTTATGTATTTTAGTTCACTGCCGAGCTGAGCTTAGATTTTAACATGTACTGTTTAACCATGAAATTTAAATGTAATAGGGTAAAACCCAGTGCATTTAACATAATGCTGCACTTTAGAAAATGGGTTGAAATATAACATGTTGGTGGAGCTGGGTTCCGACTATCGGCTTGTGGAGCTCTCGGGAGACCGATGTTTTCCACCCGTTTCTCCCCTCCCCGCAGCTCGGTGCATCTCTGTCTGATCGCGGCTTCTGTCTGCTGCGCGGGCTGCCGGCTTGTGGAGCTATCGGATGGAAACCAATGTTTTCCACCCGGTTCTCCCCTCCCTGCAGCCTGGTGCATCTCTGTCTGATCGCGGCTCCTGTCTGCTGCGTGGGCTGCCGGCTTGTGGAGCTCTGGGATGGAAACCTTTCCACCCACCTCTCCCCAGCTGCAGCTCTGCGCATCTCAGATTGCAGCGGCGCTTGTCTGCTGTGCGGCTGCCAGCTTGTGGAGGTCTCGGGAGACCTTTGTGTTCCACCCGGTTTTACCCAGCGGTCAGCCCGGCGTATCTCTGACTCAGAAGCTCTGGTGTTGTGCATAGTTAACTCCGGTTGTAGCTAAGTTGCTACCTCCGTTAGCTTAGCTCCCACCTCCGCGTTAGCTTTGGGTTAGCTTCAGGTTAGCTTGTAGCTAGTTCGACCGGGTGTCGTCAGTTGATCCCAGCCTTACAGCCCCACCCTCAGCTCCTCCTCTCTTCCCTTTTATGGAATTGTCTGGGCTTGACGGAACCTGTGACACAGTCAAAATGGCGGTGGTGGCCACCTCCTATTTATCTTGAAAAATGTGTTATTGGAGCTATGGAAACCCATTGTCCAATATTTATATGTTGATGGTGTAGCTGCACTTTTGATCCCAAACTTTGGACTGATTCTGCCTTTGTGCCTTTGCTGGTTCCTGTAATGTCCTCCACTGCATCGAGATGACCACACTGTGCGCCAGACAAAAAGTCAATTGATTAATGACGTTTTTCAGCCAGCTTCAGTTGAACAATAATACAATTATATACAGGCATCACCATGATGTACACAGTGATGCAAGTAATGCATTACTTAGCATGTTACCCTAAAATGACCACTTTTTGCAGTAACGGCTAAATGAATACGTTACTATTTCCATATCAGTAATCAAATGAAATGTACTAGTCAAAGACGCTATGCTGGTTACTGTTTTTGTGTAATCGTTTTTGTGGTTTGCAATGCTGGCAAACCAGCAACAACAATACCGAGACACGTGTAACCAACAACAGCAAGTATATTGTATTCAGAACAAGCAGGTGCAGCATATTAAGCCACTAAATGACAGGACGGCACAGTAAAATTATTACCAACCAAAAATTGCACTGGCAACAAAACCCCAACAAACACACCACAATAGAACAAACAACTGGAAACCTGGCTACCTGGTTTACAGTTGTTTTGTCTTATTTTGGTGTGTTTTCAGATGTTTTGTTGTTTTGTTTTGTTTTTGTTTGGTTTGTGTTGGCTGTTATTTGCCTCTTGTTCAGTGTTCTGATTGTGCTATATTTGGTTGGTGTTAATTTTGCACCACAAGTAGCTATTGCATTCCAAGGAATGGGACCCCAGTGCCGTTCGGCTGTTCAGCGATGTTTCTCAAAGTAATTTTGGATTTTAGTGTGTGTGGTCATGCAGGATGCTAGCTTTTAGCATACTGCCCCACACATTGCACGGGCAAAGCAAAACTGATAGCTGGTTTTCATGTTGCGGCAATGTGTTTAGTTATTGGCAGCTATTGAAAATAATAGAGTAACTTCAGCATAAAGTAATCAGTAAAGTAACTAAATTACTCTTGGAAGGAGTAATCAGTAGTTAGTAATCAAATGACTATTTCAAGGTAACTGTGGCAACACTGGTTGTAATCAGGACCACAGTCTGACAAACAGACTATTCTTCGCTTGTTGGACGTAAAGGATCGAAAAACAACATCCAAAAATACCCTCCATTGCTACGTTATGTGGGGCTGTCAACGTCTAAGAGTTGGTCAACAGGATTTGCATCTGGTTCAGACATCTCTGTAGTGCTGGAACCATGAACTGAGCTTTATATGCAAAGCAGCAGCTATTGTTATATCGACTCCAGAGCTCAATGGACGGAAGACAAAAGAAAAATAATCTAGAAGTGAAACCTGTGAGCATTTATTTGTACGTGTGTATTTACAACGAGCTGGTACAACAAGTTTGGAAGTGCGCAGCAAATGCGGCTTAGGCGTGTTAAGGCTGGAACAAATTTCCACATCCACTAAGACATTAGCCTCGGGATTTTTCTCGACCCGTTTGTGTTTACGTGTCTGTTCCCTACTTTCAAATGTCAATCTGGAGGCTGAGCTACTTGAATATTTGTGAAAGATGAGTGACAAGGATAAGTATTAGCATCTGTTTAGATTCTTATCTCAAGTTCTTTCCAACACGGAGACTTAATAAGCTTTCATAGTACCCTTTTAATATTTTGGTACAAACACATGCTAAGTACTTTAGCAGTTGGATCCAATATTCAGATGAGGTTCGTGGATTTGGCAATCAATTATTCAGAAGGGGCAGCTTTGTCTTTTCAAAAGCAGAATATCTGAGTTGTTAAAAAACACTTTTTTTAAGTTGAAAGCATTCTGATGGACGGACCAGTAAATCTGTTTAATGAAACTCAACAAATAAACCAGACATTTCACGTCTTCCATCTTCAAAAGCTACTTTACTTTATGG